GCTCAGAGGAGTGTAACAACCCGGGATTCAAAATTAGCTTTACTTGGAGAAAACTTTTGGCATCTGACTTCTCAGTACCGTTAAACTGGAGATCTGCAAGTAAATTACATATTTAAAGGGAGGGGAATCAAACGTCAGTTCCTCTTGATGATGTATAGAAACGGGACTTACTAGGCAGCCATCTGTCTTTGTGAAATGCTGTCACCAAGACAAGTGACATCTGTTTCCAGTTGGGTAATTAATTCAGGGGGATAATGGTGCATATTTCATGTCATTATGATGTGAAATCATAAGTCTCTTACAAGTCTCTTCATAGGCATAATAAACAATTACTTCCACTGCAGTTGTAGAAACCAGAGAAGTCTTGCATCTAACAGAGTTGCAGCAAGTCTCTGATCTGCAGGTGCTTTGGACCCTCTCCATTTTCACATGCCTGCACTTTGCTGGGCAGTCAGGGCTCTACAGGGAAAGCCCTGCACTGTTAAAACTGGGAAGTGTTTGTGATAATTTAGGGTTGGAAGGAATCAGCAGTTGCAGTCAGGATGAGAAAGATCACAAAGTAACCCTATGCGAAAAAAAATACGACAAAAGTTTAATATGGTTTGGGCTGGATTTGTCTGTGTCTGGTATCAGTAAGCCACCGGGTGTTCAATGTTGCAGCTGTGTGGCGCAGCTCTTGCTTTCTTCTGCCCGCACATTTTGTGGTCCTGACAGCAAGAGGGGAGAAGGGGGTGGGAGAGATGCAGAGCATGCCTTTTTCTACCACTCCAAGTTACTTTGGGTCTAGGGCCGATCCCACAGGGCCTTGCCTACGTGGAGGATAAGATCAACGAGCCCACTTGGTAAATGGGACTCCGGCATCTGCAGCATCCCACAACAGGCTTTGGCACAGCTGGAGTACTGGGGCATGGGGTCAATTATCAGCTCTGCAATGTAGTGACAGTAGTTGTTTTTATGAAAGTTTAATGACTCAAGCATATTTATCTTTCAAAATATGCCAATTATTACACCATGTAATCATGATCAGTATGTGGGGTAGGGTTTTTTGGCTTTTTTGTTGTTGTTGTAACTGTTGGTCATTGACAGCAATTCTATGGATAAGATTTGTAAAATTTTGAACAGTTGTCCATGCTGGGAATTTATATAGCAAGTGTATTTAATTAATTCTCAGATTTTCAGTTAAACCAGTCATGATGATCAGGTGAGCTGTACTGGTTGGTCTGGGCTTGCTTCCTGGGTATTCTGGGCACTGTCGTGTTTTAGGATTAGCCCTGTGGGGTGGCATTGTGGTAGGAAAGTGGTAATGATCAGTGTATTCTTCACCTGCAATTCCAGATAGCCTGGAGTTTATTCCAATATGAGGAGCAGTAAAATGGTTAATAAAATTGAATTTAGCTAGCGTTTCAGGCTCTATACTTGCAGAAATAGGAAGATCACACCTTGTTGGCTTGTATTTACCATTTTTTCTTCTTAAATTCTGAAGTATCTGATGCTGCCACTAGAGAATTACTGCTACTATTCTGATCACTCTCTAGTTTTCCACTTTGTAGCTAGTTCCTAGTGTTTGATTGCCACTGCATGTTTAGTCCAGACCGCTTGCACTATTACGGTACTAATTTTACCCCATACAGTAACTTTCCAGATTATTCTAAATGAAAGGGAATTGATGTCTTGAATTTAAGTAATCTTTATAATACCCGTTTTAAAAAATGTAGAATAATTATAAAAATCAGTATTGGATCATATTATTCAATCAGAAAAAAAGATTAGCCAGAAGAATGTTGCAGAAATAATGTTTGGTTTTAGATGGAATAACTTGTTAATTCCAGCATCTGCACATCTACTGTCATGAGGGAGTTACTGGGCTACATGTGTTTGTTTTTTAAAACATCTGTCAGCTAAGTCAGAATCTAAATGCAAAGTGTTGAAATGGTTACATTTGTGTATTTCTTAAATTCCCTAGTGGAATTTCATTTTGTATGCTAATCGTTGGAGAATATGGAGGTAAAAATAGGATTAAATTTGTATGCATGTATCATTTCTTTGGACAAATGACTTGCCCTGTTCTCCTTCCATTATATTAGAACATCAAATATAAGAAAATATATGAGATGGAGTTGCATTATTTTTGTCTCAGGTATCCTACTGTTTGTGTGGAAAGAGGCATGTCATGTACACGCTTGGTTTTTTGTCCCAGTCACAAAATAGCAGGTTGGGGAGGGCCTTAAGCTACTCTTAACGGTTTCATGACATGTTGAAGCTGATTCCTGCAGCCGCACTGCAAAGCTCATTTCATTGTCATATATGAAGTAGGCTAAAATCCATTTGACACAATGCTTCACTGCATAGCACTTAGGTGCATTGTATTGACTGTCCCTGTAGTTCAGTGTTACTATGTTCACTCTTACCTGGTGTATAGAAAATATTCATGAGGAACTAACTTGTGGGCTAGATATGGGCAAGACTTTTAGAGGTTATTTGATATACAACATTAAGATATTTCTAAGATACTGCTTTAGGCAACTTTACCATTGCACACCGTTGACCTATATTTGTGATATTTGACATTTTTCATAAATACTGTCAAGGATAATCCATCATAGAACAAGTTTTCAGAATTTCAGGGTGTTTGTTAAATGCTCATAACTCAAATATAGAAGTGTTTCAGAAAACAGTATTTTATATTTATAAGTTGAGTAACAGGTTTTTCAAGGAAGAAGATCACTAGGGAGTCCATTTCCAGAAGAATATAGCTGCCTTCACTTAACAGAGTATGTGGTCCAGATGAGACTGGGTTACCTCTGCCTATTGGCTGAGGACCGTACTTTTCTGTAGGTTGCATCTTTAAATCCCTACCACTTCACATTTGGGGTGACCACCATTTTAATAGAAAAATAAAATGTGGAATGAACTCAGGAGTGCTTATGGTGTTGAAAGATCTCTATTGCTTTCAAATTGAGCACAGTTTTTGAAATAATACAACCATTTAGACCCGTCTGCTGATCTCTTATGTGCGAAGTCCCTCAGGACTCATGTCGTTTTGTCTCCTGTTGTTCGACAGCTCTGTGAAGTCAAAGAGAATTGCTTTGTGTGGTTTGATATAGCTAATAAGGCAGGCAGAGCACTGAGGACCTCGAAACAACCCAAGAACTGCAGCTTGACTTAAAAATCTCTGGGTAAATGCACTTGATGATGGGGGAGCATTATGAAAGAAGCAAGTTCACTGAAGTGCATTACCTGAGTAATGCTTAAAGCAGCTGTAGTTCATTCACGTGTTTCATATAGTTAAATACGGAGATAAACTGTGCACCCTCCTGTTTAACATTCAATGTAAACTGAATACATAACTAAGTCTCCTGCATGCCTCCGGCATTTTTGTGTGTGCTGCGTTACCGCAGCTTCACTCATGCTTCTCCAGATTTAGGTTAATAGGAGAGCACATAGCAGGCTTGTGGGACTCTGCAGCTTGGGCCTGCTGTTGAGCTGCAAGGTCTGCAACAGCCCTGTAAGCTGCCCCTCAGAGGAAGGCCTCGATCTGTTTCATGTCATAGCCCATCGCTTTGTAGGTGCGGGCAAACAAGATGTTCTTGATGTCCAGCAATATCAGATAGCACAGAGACATCCAACAGAGGAAGTGTAGATGATTTCACGTGCCCATGGATAGGCAGGAGTTCACCCGCCAGAATAATGATGGCATTTTGCTGTACCATATCATGAGATACTGGATCTAAGAGGTGCCGTAGGAGAGTTGTTGGGGTTTGGGGTTTTTTTTGTTTGTTTGTTTGTTCTCATGAATGGTAGCTCTTAGTAGTACTGCTTAAACTGAGGTATTTGTTCACTTAAGAGGTAGCATTTTCAGGGGTTTTGGGGGACTATTACTTTTTCTAGGTTGAGTGAGAAATTCCTCTCGACTGAAGCGTGTTGACACAAGGTGGTCCTAAATATAGTGGGAAGTACTGTCTTCTGAGAGGGAATGGAGGCAGCTCTGGTGTATGAAACCATATATACAGTCTGGAAGAGTTACATGAGGACACTGCTGTTTGCAGAGCTGAGGCTTGCTTCTACAATTAGGGCTGCTTTACACTTTGAAGCCATTGTAGCCATTAAAGAATAGCATCGAAATATGATTTTTTTCCCACTAATGCTTAAGTTTCCAACTTGCTCTTTCTGCCCTTTCTGTTTCCCTGAGAGCAGTGGTGGTTTTGTATGTGGCAGGGACAGAGAGACATACAAGTGGGGAGTAGTTGCAGTAAATTTGGGACACCTTTTTGGCAGCGTGCTAGGAGTGTGGACAAGCACAAGGTATTTGAACCCATCCACTGATGGTCACGTTTGTGTGCAACAGAGATTATTTCATTGCATCTGATAAAAGTAATAGACTTCCAGGACATAGTTTGTCCATCCTGTGTTTCTTACACAAGGATGATTCTACACGATAATGCAAACTGTACGTCTCATTCGGAGTTTACCCAGGAAAGACATGGTGAATAGATTTAAAAGTGATAACATTTATTCATTGTGCGGTTCCTTTTCTCCCTTCTTGCCCTCTCTAAGCATTTGCTGGCTCTTCCTCACTCTCTTCCTCATCCATCCCGTGAATCCCTTTAATCCTCATCACTCACTGTTTGCCTGCACCTCTACATTTTCTTCTGCAGTCTCCTCCTCCCCTTCCCTTGTTTTTGCTCCCTCTCTGCTGCCTTCTCTTCCTCTTTCATTTTCCTTTCCTCCTTACCTATTTTTGAGTCTATTGTTTTTTCAGTTTTCCACATCTATACCCACTTTGATTTCTTCCTTCATTTTACAGGGTTTTTCCTCTGTTTGATCTCACCTCTCATTTTCTCTGCTGATTGTTTGCCTCGCAGTGCTCTCTGAATGCTTAGCCTGTGTAGTGGACTAACATGTTAAAAGGTTTAAAGAGAAAATGGCTTCACTCTGAATGGATCTTCATTTAATGATTGCAATGTGCTCTTTTTAATGAGGTATTTTTGTTATGATTTCAGGTCTTAAAAATTAGCTTGATTGGCCACCGGAAGCGCGTTCTGGCATCTTTGGGAGACAGGCTTCACGAAGATCCGCCTCAGAAACCACCTCGGTCAATAACCCTCAGGGTGAGTCCCCATGAAAATTTGTTTGCATTTCTCGAAAAGTCAGCAAGCGTTTCATAACATTCACATCAAAACAACAGCCACTTCAGAAGCTTAGAGCGTAGATGTCTTAGGCTGACCTGCTCAGTCGCACCTCCCTGTATAGCCAGCGGAGATAAATTGACATTTTTACAGGGTGATTCATCTGACCTGTTTCAGATGTCTACCTTAGGATGAGATAAGTAGTATCTTAGAAGTACCAGCTTATCTTCTTTGCTCAAGGAACTAGCTCAGGAGCAGGTGTGTACAAGCTGCACGTCTACATTTGCCCACAGGAATCCCAGCCCAGGCGATCAATATTGTGGAAGGAGAGTTACCATTTTCCTTTCATGTTTTCAAGTGCTTGCACTTTTCAGATATACGCTTTATGCTTTCTTTAAAGAGAGCCTCTGGAAATTGTTGAGATAGAAACATCTTAATGGCATTTGTGTGTATCAAAAGTTTTGTTGTGTTTTTAATTTTCATTTGTATTCCCTCTTTCAGAAACCTTGTTGCAATGTCCCTGGGCTTTTTCCGAACTTGACCAGATTTAGTCTCCTCTCGTTACACCACCTTCACTCAGTTTCTCCGATCCAATGCCTTTGCTTCCTGGCTGTCTGTTACCCTTATCGAGTTATGGTCTGATGACCCGTTCCTACTGTGTTCTCTCCAAGAGAGTTCATATCAACACTTTTTATTGTGATATTTTAGGTCACACCTTTTGCATTTGATTGGATCTGATTATTTTCATGGGGCTGCATTTCCAAATGTCAGAGAGTGTCTGTGCTCCCAAGTTAAATTTCTTGGTGTAAAGAGAAATAGAGAAAGACAGAATGAGGGCTTATTTTTACATACACGTACAATTTCTGTGAGCAGCCTGTTTTCACCCTGCTTATTCTCAAGTGCCACATATAGACATTTTAGATCCCCCCACCCCCAAATACAACCTATTCCTAATGCCATGTTGAAAAATGTCTCACAAGTCTATAATGTCCTGCTCTAAGGCACATTGCACAAACATGGATATTTTTCTTGTATTTTTTTTTATATATTATGTGAATGATTCCTGATGCATGGCAGGTGTTAAAACACTGCCAGGAAAGAGGAATCATTTGAAAGTCGCACATTTTTGCTCAATACATTCAGTGCTCTGGACTGGGGAATTAGTTCCTCTTCAGCAGGTGGGAAAGTTTCCACAGCCCATGTTATTGGTTAGGACTGTATATTCTCAGTTAATAGTAAGGAGAAAACTGGATGTCCTCCATCTGTAGTCAAAATGACAAAAAGTAGTCTGCTGCTCCACAGCTAGAGCTACTGATGCGGGCAAGTGCTAAATGTCATTCATCACCTTGTGGTATTGGAGTCTTCACAGAGAATCCTAAAGAGGAGGACATGAGTTTGGATTATGATTTTCTTTCCCATCAACGGCTACTATGCCATTTTACGTGAAATGAGGACATAGTATTTAGTTTGTAGTTTGCAATAATTTTTAGCTTGAAAATTGGTTTAAATAAACTGTCTGCTGCTACTAGAAGATCGATTTGTATAGAAGCATAGAATGGTTTGGGTTGGAAGGGACCTTAAAGATCATCTAGTACCAACCCCCCTCCCATGGGAAGGGATACCTTCCACTAGATCTGGTTGCTCTAGATCAGTAGAAAAGATAGTTTGTTGTTTAAAGAGTCTACTTGTAAGGTCCCTAGGTCAACCTAAGCATGGCTAGCACTTCATCTTTTTTGACTCTTTTTCTATTAATTAGCTTTTAAAATATTTCAAAGGAAAAAATGGTTATATTGAGGAAGAGCAACATTAAAAATATCCACAAAATATGTTATTCCCACAATAACTATGTACTAAGGAGAAGTTATTTGATTTCAGAGTCATATACTCAAAAGTTAGAAAATACTGTATCTCTGGTTACCTATGCAATCTTTCTTTCCTTCCCTGAGTGCATTATAATCTTTAATTACAGGACCAGTTCCCATGTTATTCATGGAACCCCATCGTCACCCGGTCAGCACTGGAGGCTGGAATTTAAACTGAAGGAAAACAATTTAGGCTGAAAATTTGGAGAAGCAGCGTTACAATACTAATGATAGTTTAACACAAGAATTAATTCACTGGAGAGGATTCCTGTTTTTAGGAACTGGTTAGACAAACGTCTGTGGGGCATGTGGTGCACCTAGGCAGCCTGGGGAAGGATCTGTTAAGCTCCCTTCCAGCCTTGACCTGTGTGGTTCCAGCATTACGTGACCAGCAGGACTGAGAGGTGGGAAGATGATGCAGATTTCAATAGTGAAATACATGATCAGGCATCCCTGCAGGACATGTATCCATGCATTCACAACAGAGTGGAAACATGACATGAATACCTGGTGACAAACAGTAGCATGGTACTGAGTACATGATAGCACCTGCACGGGCATCCAGGCCTGGTCTACAGAGTGTAAAGGAGATGAGAACGTGGGTATGGAGTGAGGAATGAAGGAAGAATGGGAGAGAGATTCATGATTAAAGGAATAGCTGTAGCTATGAAAATACAGATTTACACCTGCTTTTGCCACAAAGCCCTTGGATGATGCTTTGTAAGTTATTTAGGTAATTGCCTCATAAACAGTCACTAATTGTGTGTTACTGACATTCTGCATATTTGACTGGAGTCTGGAGTCTGATTTATACAAGTGCTGAACACACAGTGCTGCAAATTAGATCAATAGAAATGGAGTTTTGAATACAAGCACTTGGAAAATCAGGCAATAGATATTGTAATTGGGCATCCAAAGTGATTGGTATTTTTTAACCTTTGTCTGTGTGCCTCAGGTCCCCCACACTGAAGTGGTGATTATAAAATGCCAGAAGTCACAGAGTGTGGTGAAAATAAATTGATTGACGTTTGTAAAGCACTTACGAGCATCATGAAAATGACAATATTAGTCATCCTATCTTCAGAACAGGATTTGAATAGAGTTTAGGGAAGGGGTTTGGGGCCACAAAACAAGGTGAGAATAAAATACTGACTACACGATAACTAATGATAACGCAGTGCTGAGTATATGACAACATGCTGCACAGTTGAGGATCCATCTGTGCTGTGAAGGACGACTTTGAGAAAATAGCATAAAATCATACAATTACATACTGTTCCATAATGCAGAGGCACTGTAATTCTTTTATTTCTTGACTTTGTAATTCTTATCTGTATTGCCTTGCCAGCAATCTTCCGATATAGATTTCTGAGTGAATTTCCTCTTTATGTGCAGTTTGATAAAATATGAAAAGCTCGATGAGAGCTGGAATCTGTATATCCGTTGCACGGTCATCTGTCACTTCGATGCTCTGATGGCCCTATCAATCTACTAACAGTGGGTGAATCGTGTTTGGGAGCAGAGAGAGGTTACCTACCTGGCTGGAGTGGCAGGTAGCAGTCATTAGAAAAGATCTCGTTTGGTGCCCCTGCACTCAGGTTGCTTTCAGGGTAGAGGCGTCTGCACCATCTAGTCAGAATTGGGCCCGTGGAAGAACTGGGGGTAAGCCTTAGACATAATGCCTCACCAAACCTTCTAAGTGTCTGCAGATTACATCTTTTCAGAAGCTTTTAACTGGGCCAAATGTAGGTGGATTTTCATGAAGGAGGGAAAAAGACTATTCCTAAGAGGAAAACACTCCTTTCTTTGCCCTGGGAAATGTCAAGTGCTTGTCTCAGATCGTAGGAAAGCTAGAGAATTAAAAAACAAAAAAAAATCCCAGTTAATTAAAAGTTGCTAAACAACTATATATCCCTGATTTTAGTCAACCAACATGGAAAATACTAATCTGTTATTGTGATTGCAAGGAATAACGTCATATAGACTCCTACATTTCAAATATTAACATCAGACGTTACTATCACTTGAACGCATACAGAGAATTGCAGCTTTCCTTTCCATTTGGAAGAGATTACAGCTCTCTGGTTTCTTACACCAGATCTTGTTTCTTAACAGCATGGAGTAAAGTACCTTGATGCTTTTCAGAATTAGGTTTGCTTCAATGTAATCGTGCATGAAATATCCACTTTAATTCTTTCTTTAAATAAAAAGGCAGGGTTTTTTACCCTCCATGCACACTGGAGCAGGTCTTTGCTTCCTCTAATATCTTCAGGTCCCTTCTTGTTGTTCAGTATTGAAACACAGTATTACAGCAATAGGTAATTTAGACAAGGTCTGCACTGTGCAAACACACTCCTGGCTACGTTCTGCCTCCAAAGAATTTACTATCAGAGAAATCTCTAGTGTCAGATAAATTGCGCCCAGTAACCTACACCATGAGAGAGGAATATGTTTCTCCATCCAGTTGCTATGACAGTGTTTTACAGTCTGCACTGGGGTGGTATGTGTGCAGACTGGCTGGCCAGTACGCTATAGCTCTGCTCCTGCTCGTTGCAATCTCCAAGACAGTGTTGAATGGTGGAGCTGGGCACCAATGTTTGTAACTGGTGTTTGAACAAGTGATGTGATGCGCACGAGAATAGATATTTCCAAACATACATAAAGTGGCTGGCTGTGAGCAGTGTGGTGGCAGATCCTGGTAGAATGTATGATCAGGAGGACATGTTTAGCTGTTTATTAGATAGAGTTCATGTACCAATTCGCTATGGTATTTACACACTGGTACAAGGTCACAGGTCAGCACAGATTGCAAGAAAAGCCTGGTAAAATTTTTGTACTCTGATGCTTTCATGCATTCTAGGAATTGTTACTTAGCTTGTTTCTGATATCCAGTACTTCCCGTTAAACAAATGTTCTGCAAGATCTATAAAAATTGCAAACAAAGCATCTATATTTTGTAAATGTTCATGCATGTCTTTCTTCCAGCAAGAGATGTTGCTAGAGTTCAAATCACTTTCAAATCACTTTCACTGCTCAGAGTGGCTGCTCAGAAGTGGTGAGAATGTATTTCATCTTAGGAATAGCTAGTCCTAAATCATGGCTTTATTTGGGCCTTGACAAGAAGTAACTCACTGTTTTATCTCTCTAGCAGTCCTAGAAGGGAGTATATATTACACAAGGAGGTTTTGGAGAGGGAATTTGCCACTAGTTCATGTAAATAGTGAATTATTTTTCCTTCCACATGGGCTCTGCACCTTAGGTAGCAAATCTCAAAGTTCATCCACAGTAACCTCTACTTCAGGAATTATTCCTTAATTTTTTTAGTATGAATAATTCAAATACACTTTTAAATGTGTGGTTTGAAGTCAGCAATATGCTGTTCTTCTTAAGCTGCATTTTTCTTCTCTCTGTCCAGGAACCCAGCGGTAACCACACTCCTCCTCAGTTGTCTCCATCACTTAGCCAAAGCACTTTCACTACTGGTGGCTCCCTGGACGTTCCCCACATTATCATGCAGGGCGATGCAAGGAGAAGAAGAAATGAAAACTATTTTGATGATATTCCCCGGTCAAAGCTGGAGAGACAGATGGCACAGGTAGGGTTAAAACGATGCCATTAAAAGGCTGCGTCTTGCTGCAATTGGTTACAGAACTAATCCTAACCATAGCTATGGGTCATATATGAAGGTTGAATTGTAAACTACAAAGATTGACAATTTTTCCAAGCTATCTGTTCCAGTTCTCTATATTTCAAATAGTGTAAGTTGGTGTGCAGTTTCTCCTGAGAGGCAGAGTTTTGGGGGTGTTTAGGTGCCTGGAGGCTGAGGTGAAGGTGCCTCCTGTGCACCAGAGCATGCAGACTCCCACTAGCACTGACTCTGCCTCTCATTTCTGTAAGAAGGTGCAGATTCCTCAATTTCTGAGCAACCTAGATAAAAATAAGCTGACTTCAGTTCACTGCCAGAAACTCAGAGGACTTGGCGGGTGGTGATTGCTGCATTTATTAATGGAGAGGGTCAGCATTCTGCTAAATTTTGTGATCTGGGGATATATCTTGAGTGTTTACAAAAAAGATTTAACTGCGCAACAACTCATTTGAGCATTGCAACAGCACTAGACTCAACTGGATGTTAAATCAAACTGTTCATGAAAGAAAGCCTAAAGTATCCTTCATCTCTAAATTTTTTTGCCCAACCACAATGAGAGTACTGATAATTTTAAATCAAGCATACGTTGACCAGAGTGGTGTCTTGTACCATTCTAAAGGGCAGTAAAGTTAAGCTTGGACAGCCTGTTGGCGAAAATGCTTTAGGGTGAACTCAGCTGTTTTTTGGTGGTACTTATGATGAAAGACAACCAGGTCTTAAGCCATGCAGTGCTTTGCAGCGCATGTTGGACACAGGGCTTTGATTTGCTGTCAGAAGCAGACGGGCAGTCAGTGCGGCTCCTGGAGCGACTCACTCCATGAAGGAGCAGGTTGCTGCATGCTGCCTTGCATGAGGCTTCCCAGCGGTTCTTTGCCTGCCACAGCCCAAAATAGAGCCTCTATCTAAAATTCAGCCTCAAAATGGAAACAGCTATGCAAATAACTGTGTTATGGTTAACATAATGAACAAAAAGCTGCAGTCTCTCAGCTAATTGCATGAACAAGAAGAAGTAATTAAATAAACAAGCAAAACAAGGTGCTGCCGTTACCTGGGAACACAGAAATAAATTTAATTCCATTTGTTCAGAGGACATTTCTAGGGAAGTGAAATTGCATTTGGTTGGGTGGGGCTGTTTCCTTGCCTTTTTTTAATCTCCTAATTTTCTGCTGTATAATCTTATTGTACAGAATTAAGAGGAAAGTTGCCTAGTGAATGAGCTTGTCTTCAAACCTGGGCTTTTGTGGCAAGAACAAGGTTGAGCTGAAGTCCAGCAAGGAAAAACTCAGTTCTTAACATGAAAATATTTATTTGAAGGTCATGAAATTTAGGCGTTTGAGCGTGAAATACACACTTGCTCATGGCTGAGTAGACTGGTTCATCTACTTAGCTCATTTTATCATTTGGTTCACAAAGCCTATTCTCACTTACTCTTTTAGTCACTAACATCGAAGAAAAAAAACAAACAAACAACCAAAACAACCTAAAAAACCATACTAGCCATTTTTCCTGTCTCCATTTCCCTCTTTTCTTTTCCTGTTTGAAGTCCTGATATTCCCAAGAGGTATGACATACTCCCGTATATGGCACCTGGAGATTTTCGGGGGGGCTGTTAAAAATTGCTTTTCCAGAAGGACTGTGATATGTTGCATATCCAAAGAGAAAACTGAGCAGTTAGTATTTACACTACTCCAAAGCACTTTAAAACCAGTTAAGTGCTGCGATTTTTTTTTTTTGTGGGAGTGTGTACCCACTGAATGAATGACTTCAGTGCCTTCTCTCTTAACTGTCACGGTGGAATACAACAGCCATCCTTTGGGACTCCAGAGGGGAAAGTGGATTCAGATGAAATCCATAAAACAGTGTTTTGTGTTAGTCCCTGAACTCCACTCTGTTCCGAGTCTTTCTCAGCTCTGCCCCCAAATTCTGCACTCCTGATGTATGTAAAATTCCCTTTGACTTTAACGGGAAAGTCAATGACTCCCTCTGGTGATCATTCTCACTAAATTGGACTCACCCCATTAAGAGGCTAATCAGGGATTCTTCAACCATTCAAGCCCAAAAATAGATTTTTAAATTTATTTTTTGCAATATGTGCTTTGCTAAAATGAACTATATTTCCTTCAGTCTTTTCCCCCAAAGCCCCCTTGTAATTAAAGGTAAAATAATTGTTTCTGGAAAATAAAGGAGATCCAACATGATCTTAACATGAGCCTTCTGCTCCATGTTTTTTTTTTTTTTTTATCTAGCAACTTCCTCTTTGCAGTTTGCAGGTTCCTTTGGCTTATGTCAGATCAACAACAACTTCTGAGCTGATACCAGTCCAGCTTTCCAGCCAGAATACTTCTCACAAACAGAATGATCTAGAGAGATTATTGGAATTGCTTTTAGGATATTCTTTGTCTTAACCCTTTCTTTGCTAGGCTGTTTGCATGCTGCTGTATGAATCTGCATGTTTACTGGATGCCATAGTAGACAGATGTGCCTAAAGACATCTTTGATGCTGTGATTTTTTGAGAGGGTTTTAGGTGTGTTCTTGACGATGAGATTAATGGGTATTTCTATGGCCTTGAAGAGTGAGGCCAACACGGTATTGAGAGCTTATTCATGGTATTGCTTTCATGAACTTGATTTTATTTCAGAAATGTTAGGAAAAGACTATTTTTAACCTCAATTTAAAATATAAAACCTGAAGATATTTTGAGAAAATGGTGAGATCTGATGTTTCCAGCTTTACTATGGCCTGTGTTTTCACTAAACTTCTACGTGGGAGTCATCAAGCATGTTGATCTTTGCATCAGATATTAACCAGTGTTTGTTAAAACAATGAACACATCAGTCTAAATGGTTTTGAACAATTCTCTAAACCATAATCAAATCTGCTTGTAAGTATTACAACACTTTGTTTCCTGGAGGAAGCGCTGATTTAAATTTACTTAATGTGGGTGGTTTTGTCTCAAGGCCAGCATGTACCTTCATTCATAGTTCCCTAACAGACTGTTTGCGACCTAAGAGGGGGAAAATCCTAATATAAACAATGAGGCTAACCAGTGCAGATTCCCCACTGGAGTAGGTTTGGTCATCACACTCTCCAGTTGGTCGTCCAACTTTGAAAGTCTTTGACGCCTGGTTGGAAAAATCACAACTGCCAAGAAGGTAATACAGAAGGTTGTGAGATGGTTTGTTTTAAAAAAAAAAAAAAAGGAAAAAAAAAAAAACCAACCAGAAAGGACTGAGTAGTCTGAGTCATCTTTGACTGTGGATGTTGAATTCTGAGCCTGCAAACTGTAGATTAATATGTTCAAATTAACATAGTTTAAAATAGCCGAGGTTGCTCTTAGGATTGCCTAAACCTTTAAAATAGAACTGAAATCATACAGGCAAAGCCTAAGGACTCTGGAACCAAAATCAATAGGAGAAGTCCCACTGAAGGAATTGAGCTCTTCATTCACCCCTGAAATCATGGCAGGGGGTGGAAATATGTATTTGTGGGGAAGAACTTTAGAGGTTAAAAGGAAGCATAGCTAAGTTCATTAAAATACACCAATTAAAATGTCAGGTCTTTAGGATTTGTCATTCTGCAGGCAGCAGAGAAGCTTTAGGTACTAGCTGCAAGCATATCCCAGACTGCCAACCCTGAGGCTATTGCTATTTATTGCTCCAGCCAGTGACATGCGGTGCTTTTAGCCACCATGGTCCATAAGACCTCTCACCATGGTGTTGAGTGCTGCACCCTGCCCCGAGCCAGGAGCGAGGGCCGAAAGCGTCCTCCCCGCAGCAAGTGGGCAGGGAGGTGCGGGGAGAGCCTCTGCCCACGCTGTTCCTTGCAGAAGCAGAGCTGGATCAGGCATCACCCCGATGCTGACGCACGCTCTCCCCACGGGGCTGAACCTGCGGTCTGTTGTTTCGGGAGGTGGTGGGTAGGCGCCTCTTTAGGGCTCTGGGGAAAGCTCTGGGCTGTGTCTGCCTCTGGGAGAAAAAACTGGTAATGAGTCAGAGTAGGCTTTCTGGTAGGATAAACCTAGTCATAGCCCATATGGGGGGCACCCCAGTGGGCTGTGATGGAAGGAAGAGAATCCTTGAAGATCTCAGAGAGTTGGAAAAATTATTCACAAAGGCTGGCAGGAGAAGTTCTTTCCCAGAGATGCTGAACCCAGACTTAATTTTGAAAGCCTTTCTGGGTTCTTTGGTCCCACAGTCTGAGGGCTCTTACTATTTTTTTTTTTTTTCTAAAACACAAGATAACTTAAATGTAAGGTCATTGTAATGACTGGGTATTAAGTTTGAAGTAAAGCTACCCCAATTGTTGGGATTCTGCCTTGTAACATTATTTTGTGAGATATAATAATTCATTGCAGGATTAGGATTGATATGCAGGAGACAGTCATTTAAATGGAGTTAGTACCAGAGATCCTTTATCTGCAATAGAGGAAAAGTGTAATAAAAACAAGAGACAGAATTAGCGAAGGCAGGTTTATAGCAGAATTGTGAAATAATTTGGCTGCTTTCAGCAATAATACCTTCAACTTAATAATACCTTCCAATAATTCACAGATACTAATGCAATCATATTTCCAGTGCACTGTGGGGCTATGTGGTTTAAAATCATGTTTTCCATTTTACAGCTAAGAAAATTGAGGTACAGGGATGTTGCAGGTTGGCTGAGATGACACTGAAAGTTTGAAGTAGCCAAAAATAAAACTCTTGTCCCATAAGACCCACCTTTAGGTTTTTAACTTTTAACCACAGTATAACACTTCTTTATTTGCTTGTTTCCTGTTTGTTTTCCTGTCTCCTTCTCTGCTTTGAAAGGATTTAAAGATTATGGTGAATGAAGGAAAATATACCCAGGAGAATAGTGGTGTGTAAAATGAGATTATCTGAGAAGCAATGAAGAATGGGTTTTATCAATGGTTGAAATTACTGGTGAAATAGCAGAATTCTTTACTAGT